TCCTCCTCCTCCTCCTCCTCCTCTCATCATCATCATCATCATCATCATCATCATCATCATCATCAGCATCATCATCATCAGCATCATCATCGTCATGTGAAAAATACTATTCTCCCTGCTCTAGTAACAGTTTCGGTTCAGATCTTGTTGTGTAGACCTGTGTTCTATAGTATTGTGCACACTGCAGGTGTCGTTGGCAGTTTTTTAACTGACAAACTACCGACGGCACTTCTACCTCCTAAATGTGTTGCAAGTGCGTAAAACGTTTACTGCAGCTAAATTAACTACCAAAGCTCTGTTGCATAAACTAGACGTAGTAGATTTGAACAAAGCTGTTCTACGTTATCGTATAACTGGAACCCACTAAACAAGCATCCAGTAACTCAAGCCAACTGTACCCCAAGAAACTCGTTTCAGTTCGTTGTTGTTGTATTTTAAAGATGTTTTCTTTTCTTTTTCTCTTGTCATAAAGAGACATCTAAAAGGGTATAAGCGGCGGATAAAAGTATAAAAGTTATAAAAGGACTGCTTTATTAATTCAAATTCATATTTAGTTGGTGTTTTATTTGTTTTACAACGTACCGAAATAGTATTTTGCTTTATTGCAGTTTCTTGACCTATTGTATCGGTTGCATTTGCTCAAGACATATTTGGTCAAAATTGAAATTCTAAATGTAAAAAAAAAACAACCAAGAAATGCATAGAAAAAAATGGAACAGTTTTTTTTCCCTCTCTACTGAAAAATAAAGAAATATGATTTCTGGGTTTAGAACATTTGTACTACTTGCCGAAGCTTTCTGATTTGATAAGACACAACGCAACACCATAACCTTTTCACGCAACTCCCTTTTCTACTTAACCTCTAACTATAGCAATCATTAATGCCTCTTTTTATGTGAGAACATTTCCTGTAATTAACAGGAATATTATAGTCAAGGTTTTTCTATCGTCGGAAGGGTGGTGTTATTACCAGTCTGGTGTTTTTGTTCCCAGCTGGAAACTGGTATTTGGCAATTGGTTTTGTTTCGAGTTTTTCATGATTATTATTGGTACTTAATGGGCATACTGTGTGTTCGAACATGCTTGATACCGGTTACCTCGTGCAGCTATCTTGTTTCCAATCTCTACCCATCGATCTCTCGTCTCGCCTGATTGGCTCCGCGTCATTGTGGTTTCAGGAAAGATTCAGTCCCGTCGACACTGTGACTGAAGGCATTAACACCACGTCACTTTCGCTGATTGAACGCATTAAAATCACGTCACACTGACTGATCGAATGTTATACAATAACCCACACTCGTTGAATCAATCCTCCATCAAAATTGCTTTGGATTTGTCGACTTATAAATAAATATTGCCTCTGTTTGACACTTAATCTGTTTGAGTATTAATTTTATATTATCAAGTCACAGTCAATGCCACCCGTAACAGTTAAAGAGAAAGAATTCTTAGTACTTCCGCAGGTGATATTAATTATTGTGTGATTGAATTTGTTAGCATCACGTCTCCTTTTTTATATTTGAGTGTTTTTAATATCAAGTTTTAATCAATGCCACCCTTTAAAAAATGATAAAGAAGTACCCTGTCTAACGATGTGTTTATGTGCCTGAATTTATTACCATTATTAAAAACCACTAAAGATTTTTTTTACATCTATTATGTGGTGTGAATGAGACGAGGATATTGGAACTGGTTATCTATAAGAATATAGTACATAAGATTGCTTACTTATTTATCTGTACTTTTGTAGCTGTAACAATTTTAAAATGTCTCCCTCTATGACAAGATCTGTTTTCTTTGCTATTCAAAATGTACTTGACCCCCCACCCCCCATTTTTCTTTCTCTCTCTCTCTTGCTCTCTCTTGCTCTCTCTTTTTCTCTCTTTCTCTCTCTCCCTCTCTCTCCCTCTCTCTCTCTCTCCCCCTCTCTCTCTCTCTCTCTCTCTCTCTCGCTCGCTCTAGCTCTCTCCCTTTCACTCTTCCTCTCTCTCTCTCTCTTTCTCTTTCTCTTTCTCTCTCTCCCTCTCTCTCTCCCCCTCTCTCTCTCTGTCGTTCTCGCTCTCACTCTCTCCCTCTCATTCTCTCTCTCTCCTCTCCTTTCTGTCTCTTTCTTTCTGTTGGTCTCTCTCTACCTCTCGCTCTCTCTATTCGCCTCTTTCCCGCTTTCTTTCTTTTTTTCTTTTGCATGCTTTCTCCTCCCTCTTCTCCCTCTCTCTTCATATCTCCAACCCTCCCCCTCTCTTCTCTCTCTCTCTC